ACCAATGCGCCCTTGGTGTTTTCGAACGGAAGGTGTTGCGTACCATGTACGATGGAGTGCAGATGGATGACGGAACGTGGAGGAGGCAAATGAACCACAAATTGCACCAGCTGCTGGGAGAACCATCCATCGTCCACATTGCAAAAATTGGGCGACTACGGTGGGCTGGGCACGTCGTAAGAATGCCGCACGACGACCCAGTGAAAATGGTTCTAGAAAGCGACCCAAGAAGAAAAAAGAAGAGGTCCGCAGCGGGCAAGGTGGATCGACCAAGTAGAAGGCGACCTGCGGACCCTTCGCAGACTACGAGGCTGGTGAACTGTGGCCATGGATCGAGTAGAGTAGAGACGACTTCTTCGGACAGCAGAGGACAACAAGGTCTTAGCCTGATTGATAAGTAAGGTAAATATTTGGAAGTAGGTTTTATTCATAAGAGATCAGTCATGTGAAGGCCAGGCGTGCTGCAGTCACTGGTTTGAAACGGATGACGGTAGCGTTATTTCTAAATACATATAAATCCTTCCAAATGCCCGTAATTCCACCCAATATAGCAGTACTGAGTAATATTTAAAATACAAACTCAATGCGAATCGCAACAAAACATACCATTACAAAAGTGGTTAATAGTCGATCTATTGTGGTGGTGACATTGAGAGAATGTATTTTGCAGCGAATTGTTTAAGAACAATAACTAAGTAAGAGCATCCATGGGAAACAACGAAATTCTGAGTTTTTATTTTTTTGTTTACATAAAATACTTTATCTTAAAATCTACATTTTACAATTTTAATAACTCAAATCCGCTCACTACTTCTCGGAGTTAAGCCAGCCCACTATAGATTTACTTCATACAAGAACAAGATAAAGCCAAAAAGGTCTCATTTGAGATAATGTTGGGGCGCTGAATCTGATTTTGAAATAAAAAAATACCTTACTTCAGGGAGGTTTCATAGTATTTTTTTTTTAATTTTAATGATTTGTTACTATTTAAAGTTATTTTTGACACAGGACTACGTCTTTTTCGAAGGTATGGGATACAATTTCATCGAAGCAGCGTCACCAAACAATGCTAGGTTTTAAACGATAATAACTTTACCATTTATGGATGGATTTCATTGTTAATGTACGATTGTAATCAGATTTGACGTAAGATTTGTTTGGTATAAAAACTATAATTGTTTATCAATAGTTCACTATTGAAAAATTATTAAACCTGCTTGCTTAAATCCCTAACACGGATTTCAAGTCCAGATACCAAAAAGCTAACACTAGCGTTACTTCAAGTTGTGAACATGTACATATTTTTATCTAGTTCGTTTATTTGTAAGGCTCAATCGCGTTAGCTTTACGGAGCCGATAATTCATTGTTCTTTGTTTGTAACAAAATTCACTTAATTCTATGTCTAGTAGGAGTTGGGCCGAATACTCGCGGCTTACTCGAGGTTAGAGGGGTACATTGTCGAAGGATAGGAAAAGGGGAGGAGTTTGGGGTAGGGTTTCGTTGTCTCATCAGAGCGATGTCGCCAGTATGAATGGTAGTGTGGTTCTAGATTCGTCTGGAGTTCGACCGGCTATGGTGACCAGTGGGCGACGATGAGACTCATCGAGACGGGGGGCCTTCCTGCGCGCCCACTTGTGAACATGTACATGTATTATATTAAAACTATTGGGTGCACACTTAGCGTTTTACAGGAGTCAGTATTTTTTTACTGGTTTTTTTTTAATTACTGAAAAACTTGGTTAAAATTCAACTGACCGATTCGATAAAATCAACAAATTTTATTTTTCATCATTAAACGGGGTTAACAGAAGTAAGTCTGTAAATTTTTGTCACACATTTTCGTATCTTTGAATTTTTCACAGATTTTTTAAATTTTATTGAACAGTTCCGCAATTCAAAAACTCGGTAAAAATTACTGACAGGATAAGTGTGTGAATATCTGCGCATAAACATAATGTACTTAAAGTTATTCGCTCATTCTGGGGTCAAAACAGTCAATAAAAAAATCACCAACAGATCTTAAGGTTCAATTGGCTTCGATGAATTTTCAAAGAATTCAGAAGCAAAATTTCGGTTTGTTCATTTTGCTAATTTACACATAATTACGCGAGCTTTTTTCAATCTGAAATGTTACGTCAAATAGAACTGCTTTTTCAAAATTTTCGAAAATGCATAACAATAAATTGAACCTTAACGCCAAAATGCCGAAAATTACTTTCGACGCGCAAGCCACGTGATTTTATAAATGTTGAAGATAATAATTAAATCGCTAACATTTCTTTGAAAACGCCAACAAGCTTCGAATTTACAAAATGACAATCGTCAAAATGGTCTCGAATCGCCAAATTACTCCAAAAATGCCAAAATAGCCTTCGAATTCCTTTAAATTATTTCTTGATGATGAAGTATCAATCACAATCGTCTCTTAACAAATATATTCCATCTATAGTTCTAATTCGGTTGAACGCATTCTTTAATATTTGTGCGCACAGTAATATTTCTTTATATCCAAACAACAGTACTTGGACAACTGATTAATTGTTGATATAGAATACATAAAGCAAATTTGTTCTTAGGCATGGTGTTTTTCTGATGCCAGGTTAAATTCAGCTCGTAGTTAAAGTTTAAAGATAGAAAGTAAACGAATAACCCTGAAAACAAATAATCTTGAATAACTTCTTGAACTTCTGGTCGAGAACCAGTCGATCGACAACAAGGGCTGAGGAGTCGGGTCGGAGTTAGCGACATTATTGAATTATTTGAATTACAAATCAATGCTACCCAACAAACAATTTGAGATGATTAAAAGCTGAATAAGCTATTGTTTGCCTGAAGAAGCATATTTTTGCCTATATGAGCTCTTATTCAGCTTTCAATGTTTGTTGGGTATTTCTATTATTCCACTGGTAAAACCCCATTGGCTCTATCATCTATCCTGGATTCCACTAGCACTCCGACCTGACTCCGCAGCCCAGTTGACAACGCTGGGATTTTCAATGGTGGATTATCATCTTCAATTGTCACTCTTAACTACGAGTTAAATTTAAACCGGCAATTGGAACACAGTCTTAAATAAAGGTAATAGTTTCAGATTACGAATGCAATATTTAAAATCTATCACACAGCCAATATAGGGAAACAGTAATACACTTACTCCTAATTCAGCCCAACAAAATTATGGTTGGACTTTTGGATTAATGTTTTTTTCCGACGATTTCTGATAACTCATCCCAAATGGCATTTGACTGAATTTTAATCCGGCAACGCTGGATTATCGAATCTGATTTAAAAATATCAGTATTGAATATGCATCAGCGTCTGTTTTAATCATTTACTATCGCACTCAAAGAGTAGCGCTTCAACCCAGTGTAGATTAATTGCGCTTTGAAAATATTCGCTGTCACGTTTGTTTTGGACCAAATTACTATTTTAAATATTGTCGACCCCAGAACCTAAAACCTCGATATTATCATCAATTCAGCAAAGGGCAATAATTTTCCATCTATCTGTGTGTAAGAAGCAACACGACAAGTTCTTCAGAGCTATATTTGTGCAATATGAAAATAATCATTTCGCATTTGATGCTCAAAATCATCCCCACCAAGATGAAGACGAATATTAAAATTGACAACAACAACCAACCACGAATAAAGAAAAACAAATGTTGACTTCGATACTCAGCGGTTGCTTTGATCAAGAGAATTTTGCTATCTCAAAATTCAAATTCATGCTGGTAGTTGGTCCATCTGTTAAGGGCCACCCACATTAGATCCGTTTGCGTTGCGTTGACGTTAATTTGACAGTTAGACAATAGATTTAGCTGTAATTTCACCGCAACGCGTCCGATCCGGATCTAATGTGCGTGGACCTTTAAGGTTGTCTCAATTTTCAGCTAAGTTGAGTGTAGAATAAATTATATTTATCATCACTGATGTGCATTATAAAAAATAAATCATATTTTGGCCTGCACTATGAACAAATATTGTGCACCGGATGTCAATATTAATGAATTTCCCCGCAAACAAATCATGTCGTTTAACTTGTGTGGCTGATATCGTTATTCTTCCAATAGCTTATCTTAACTGAACACTGATCGGAACTATTTAAAACCAACGATAAATCCCATGATATAATCAAATAAAACCTCTCATAATATTGTTGTATCATATTTATTACTGCTACTCGAAGCGGATTTATTGCCACGCAGACATTCTGCTCCAACAATGCCCTTCCACCACCAACCGAAGAATGTAAATCAAAAACAACAGAAGAAAGCAATTCAGGTTAATTTATGGCTACTAAATCTATATGTACACGGTAGATGAAGTCCAATATCCCGATGATAGATGCATCCAAAATCGTATCGTGTCTGTTTTCCATTGAAAAATACTGTACAAGTAAAGTTTTTTTTTTAAATTACAAAGCCTTAATTTCATCCATAATCGAAGGTACCAGGGAACATAAAAATAGCGCCAATTGTCATAAAACGAAACAATCCAATCAACGAATGCCAAACCACACCAGTTACGGTGCGGTCGTGTAACCACGATTCGTGACGAAACAATTTTCCATCTCTGAGCGGAAATCATCACTACAACTTCACTAGCGGTCAAAAGGTCAGCCAGCCATAGCTCATGTACTAACGACTTTAAATAATCGCGTGTTGTAATGTTGTGATTGAACAGGGCCATCTTGTTTTGCGAGAACAAAATCATCCGCTGGAATAAAAAAAAAAAAAAAAAGTACTACGCAATGGCGCTTGCAAAGCATTCTTTGATCAGTGTTGTTTGCTAAGGTTGCAAAAATGCTTATTTTGGGATATACCTACTGCGTTTTTTTCGGTTTTGAATTTTTATTTTCTCGCGCGGATGATCTTGCTCGCTGATATAAGCCTAGGTGGGATAATAATTTGTGGCGGAGGTGGGAAGCTCAATCACACTCATACACGCACACGCTCATTGATAGGGGTTTTTTTTTTGCTAAACTTGTATGCGCCTACCTCTCAGGTGGTTTTATCGATAAGCATCTGAAATTAAAAAAGAAAGAAAAATCGTCCATTCGTTCAGTGAATCTTTGCTTCGGTGGTTGATGGGAAGTTTTTACTGAGAACAATTTTGATTATGGTAAAGTGAATTTTGTAAACGTAAAAACAGTGGATACATACAGTAGGAAAGAACAAACATTTACTGAATAGACACGTAATAAATAGGAAAACATCTATCATTCGTTAGTACAATGAATACAAAAGAACTGAATGCCAATTATTTTGTGAAAGAAAAAGAAATCATGGAAAATCACACACTAGAGCACAAAGTTTTATTAAACAACATCGATTGAAGGACTGGAGTATAAAAGGCACATTTATCGTTCACAGAGCTAACCACAGGAAGAATAAAGCTAAACACGGTTCATATTATCCAGTTGGGGCTTTCAATAGCTGCTCAATTTTAATTCTTTCCCCTCTCGATGCGGTTCATTTTCAGCCACCACCCCGAAAACGAGGGGAAAGGTATCGCACGCTACAAGTTGGAAACACGTATGCGAACTCCTGCCATCAGCCTGCTTCGATACGCCTACCTCACATTGACTTCTCGACTAATAGTTCTCCGCTCGTAGTAGGCTTACTCGGAGCACAGAAAGGTCCGTCACCGATTTATTTATTTTTTTTCTGTTGCTCTGCCTACTGCTCCTTCATCGTATTTCCCACTAATATATAAAAAAAAAACATGGAAGAAGCAGGTTATAGACTCGGAGTGTTGTTAGACATTAATTCGCAATAAAATAAAACCCTCTCAACAATTTCCCCCATCTCCACCATCTATATCTAATGGTGAAACATTAGTTGGGGACCACTTTTGCTTGCTTTCCCCCTCTTTCAGGTGGGTAGGAATGTTAAATGCTCTTCTGTTGCTTCCACTCAGACCATACCCCGGGAGCAGTGTGGAAAAGAATTGCCAAGACCCTAAATCCTGTCACCACCAGTGAGAAAATCTTGTTCCCGCTCCCCGCCACTGGCACCATTTATCACTGGAGAAAACTGTCCTCTTTGAAACGGCGAAGGGCAGAACGTTTTTCTCACAGATTTTCTTCATTTTAACACCGGTTCTTCACCGATGCAGAACATCACCGGTTTTCCTGTTTTTTTTTGGTGAAGGCAGTTTAGTACATATTTTAAAAAAGAAAGCTGGAAAGAATACCGAAAAGGTTACAACAAGCGGGTTAAAGGAAGCAAATCAGGCGAAAGCTATTCATTCCATCCTACAAATTCATGCATAATTAAGAATTACGTGAACGATGGAAAACGTGTTCCTAACATTTCAAGTAGGCAATTGATTCTTTTTTTTTTTCGTATACTAAATTGTCAATTTATTTTGAAGCATCAAAATATTGGCTGTTTTCGGCAACCAAAATTGAAGCAATAGTATTTTATGACCAAAACACGTCGCACTATAAAAAGTGGCTGATTTTGAGTTGCCGGTGCAGTTCAAATGGAAAGGTTGCCGATGAAAAAAAGTTTGCCACTGACACTCACCTGAAAAGTTTGAAGCGTTGTAAAAACGTTTCCAAACAGTTTTGGACAATTCTGTTGATTGGAATGTATGGAGCATCCAGCAGCATGCAAATGTAAATAAACAAACATGTCATAAGGGAGTCTGACGCCTGGTAAATAGAAGCGTAGACGCCACTTATATTGATGGGAATACGTAAATTCCCCTACTAAATTCTAGTTGAACCTGATATGAATGAAAAATATTTCAGTTTTCTACGGATGGATGATTTCTTTAACAGCACACTATCGTACCAATCACGTCAAAAATGGGGTTTAATGTCAATTCCTATGAATGGGAAAATTTGGCAATTGAGCAGCGAATGTATTGAAATTAGGTAGGATCGAGCACGTTGTTGATTTTTTTTTCAAATTTGCATGATTTCCGTTAGTACTTTTGTTTTTTTTTGTACATTATTGAATATTAGTGCTGTTAAAATAATGTGATGCTGTGAAGATCATGATAATGTTAAAAATTATACTTGGGTTTATTTCCAACAATAGATAATAGTATGATCATTGCACATTTATGAGGGATCTTTTAGTTCGCAACATTTCCCTAATATAAAGTTATTGGTTGGAAACAAACCTTTGAAGAAACACATGCCATTGCATGTACATCAAGTAATTTGTTTATTCTTGCTTTTAAAGTAATTCGTGACTTGTACAGAGTAACATTTTGAACATTTTGCCATGAATTCTGATCCTCACATCATGAGCATTAATGATTATGAATTTTATGAGTAAGCATCACTTCCATTTGAAATGTAGCATATAATTTCATAATACGCTTTTATGAATACGGATGGATTTCTACGTCATTTGTGACGTAAACAAGGACCAGTTATCACTAATATTTTTGGAGAATTATTGTTTAATAAATTACATCACATCAATAAATTAAATCTGCTAAAACTATTGTAAGGTATTTAAGGTGTGAATCAATTCCAATTAGGAATGCTTAATAGAATCCACCGGAAAAAAATGCAGGGATTGCCAAAAATTATCCAAACATTATAAATTTAGACTGGCAATTATATAACAATCAATGTAAGGAATTGGGAAGTTAGTGGAATACTCATAAGAGCAAAAAAAAAGCAATTAAAGTCCGATTCAAAGTAAATTTGGACGCATTCAAGTGATCATAACTCAAGAATTAAACAACATACACGGTTGATCAAAACGTCAAACAAAAGGGTATTTATTCAGTTTCCAAAGGTTATTACATTTCACCGTTTCGAACGAACTGTCACATTTTACTTGTGATCGATGCCATCATGATCTGCACAGTCGCTGATGACACTGTACGGGCGAACTTATTCCATTTTAAACGCATTTGTTGTGCATTTGTCACTTCTTTACCGCATCCTCGATGTTTTCGCTTGATAATCGCCCAATATTTTTCGATCGGTCTGAACTCAGGGCAATTCGGAGGATTAATCTCTTTGGTGACGAAATTAACATTGTTTGCAGCATGCCATTCTAGTACCTCCTTAGAGTAGAGATTCGGTCAAAACATAACGTTGGTCTTGTGTTGCCGAATGAAGGGTAAAATACGCTTTTTCAGACACTCTTTAATGTAAACCTTCGACGTCATTGTGTGAGATGTGATGAAAACCTTGGTTTTAAGGCCACAACTGCAGATTCCTTCCAAATCATTAGTTTCCGAACAAACTTATCAGCAAAAACAAATTTATACCTGGAAGGGACATCCCCACGACCAAGGTTGCAAAGACTCATTTCAGCTAAAATAATGTTTTTCGGAATAATAAAACTAAAAGATGGTATGATGGCATGTTTTACTTGTAACTTACAAGAAGAGGTTACAAAGTATGCGTTGGAAACATAAAACCTGTAAATTTTGCTTTCTATGAGTCACAATCAGCGATTTGCTGATCGCTGAGTGAGTGAGTGAGTGAGTGAGTTTGTGAAAAATCGCTGATTGTGACTCTCATGAAGTGAAATAAACAGGTTTAATATGTCAAACACATTCTTTGCAACCTCTTCTTGTATCCTACCAATTCAAAATTTGATCATGGCATCTAATTATTTCATAATTTAGAAAAACATTGTTTTAGCTGAAATGAGTCTTTGCAACCTTGCCCACGACCAGTTGACAGGTAAAATTTTCGTCCGGAGATTTGTTTATAATCCATTTCGTCGTCATCCATTAAAATACAGCCATCAAATTTCGTCAAAACTCGTTCGTATGGTAATCGTGCTCGCTTACATCCTTCTCTTGAAAGGATGTTACGGTGGAAAAGTTGGAATCGTATTTCTTTGCCAAATCACGGATGGAGACACCTGGGTTGCATTTCACGTACCTCAACACCTTTCTCCTCAGCTCTTTGTTCCTAGTGCCACTTTTATGATGGATGTGCTGTGCTCTATCCACACTCAGAGTATCTTTGTAACGTTTGATTACAAAGCTCACCGTTGACTTTGGGAATTTTAACATTTTTGGCTAGGTTAGGTTTTCTTTATTAAGGAGGTTTTCAGCCTTGGGCTGGTTCGCCTCCGGCTTTAACATTTTTGCTATTTTTGAGGCAGACCACGAAGGGCTCACAAGATGTTTGTGCACAATTAATTTTCTTTTCTCAAGTTCCATGATCCGTAATTTCGGGATGCGTCGATCAATCGAGAAAAACTTTTCACCAATTTTTTCGTCAATGAAACATCAATAAATGCCTGTCAAGCGTTTTTTGTTCCAACCACCAGGGGCGCGGTGGTGTATTAAACCGTGCGTCCAGATTTACTTTGAATCGAGCTTTAGTTACCATCATATTCCACTTTGTGCAGTCATCATCAGTGTCATTCACACTAAATATATCTCTCTAAAGTACCGTAATCCGAGGGCAAATTGATCACTTGGGTAATATTGATCATTATAAGTTGCGTTTTAAAATCTCACGCAGAAAATGTTCGGTGAAATATATCAAGGGAAATCGGGATAGCATTACATGATGAGACTCCTATATTGCTTTGGCAATTTTCTCATGACATAGAAGTAGATTTTACTGCATAAATATCAAATTTATTTGACTGACGCTCAAAAGCATTCAAACAAACGGTCATAGGGTTGCAACGATTTACTTGAATGTGGTATTTTTTTATTAAAGTTAGTGTCAATGAATCTGAATTATTTGAAAAATTACGGTAAAATGTCTACAAAATTGACAAGTCAATGATGTTGTGTGAAATATAAAGTGATTTTTATTAATATTGCCTTCAGTTAGGCGCAACTATGCATTTTTAGAATTTATTTTTGAAATGTTTGCTGAAAATACGCTTCACACAAGGATTTTAACATTTAATTTGGATTCAGGGAACCCAAATTTAGTAAGAACAATTATTAGTAATTTCATTTGACAGTAATTTGAGGGTTTATTGAATTTCACCCCATATCGACATTTTAAAATTTGACATTTCAGAAATATCCTGAAAATAAACAAAACATTTAATATGATAAGTAACCATGC